TGTCAGCAGTGGTTCGCCGGGGGCCGTGCAGGGATGGCGTGCGATGCGATGCGATACGGAGGGAAGGCAGCGCGCCGCACCGAGGGAATCGCACCGAGCCGGCCACGCGGAGGGGGAACTCCAGCCACAGCCACCAAGAGACTTTGTTGTTTTTTTTTAGGAGGAAGCCGGGTCTGGCACCCCCCGCCAGCGTGCGGCTGCGGCTTTCCCCCCCGCCCCACCGTGGGGGCCACCGGGAGGATGGGTGTGCGCGCCGGGGTCCCCGTGCGCTGCCCCGCACTCCACCCCCTGCGCAGAGGAAGCCGGGCGGGGGCGTGGCCCCACGACAATGGGACTCGCCGGCGCTATAAATACCCGCCCGCATCTATATTTGGTTTGGCCGGATCACAACCGGGGGGGCCGGGAGGGGGGTGTCCCAAAAATAGCCCCGCGCTCCCGCCCGCCGCCGCTGCCGCCGCTCAATGGGCTCCGGCCCCGCCCCCTCCCTCGCGCGCGATCCCGAGCGCCTCGCGCGGGGCCCGGCGGGGCTAAATTTAGCAACGCCGCTTGCGTCAATGACGCGGCCGCCGTGCGTCAGCTCCGCCGCGCCCCGCCCCTCGGAACGGGGCCCGCCGCGTCCTGTGCGTGGATTGGCCGCGGCGGCGGCACGAGGGCGGTGACGTGGGGGCGCGGGCTGGCCCCCGCCGGGGGCCGGCGGCGTCCGGAGGGGAAGCGCGGCCGCGCGGGGAGCCCGGCGGGTTCCCCCGCGGGGGGAGCGGGGTCTGGCAGCGCCGCGGCCCCAGAGGGAGGGAGCGAGGGAGGGAGCGGGGGACGCCCCAGCGCCCGGGGGGAAAACGGCGCGCACCGCCTCGGGAAGGGGATCCCGGGCTCGGACGTGGCCGTCGCGCCGCCGGTCCGCGGCTTCCGCCGAGCCCTGCGCCAGCCCCGGCTTTGCCTCCCCGGGAGGGAGCACGCTCCGCGGCGATGCCGGCGGCGGGATGGTGGAGCGAGAGGCAAAGCGAAAGTGCCGCCGCTGCCGCCGGTCCCTCCTCCTCGGGGCAGCAGGCGCCTCGTCCGCCTCGGCTCCCGTCCGTCGGGAGGACTCGCTTGGCGGAGCCCCTCTGTGCGAAGCACAAGCGCAGCACCGGCCCTCACGGCTGCAGTAACAGTCGCGAACGGGCCGCCGGCGGTGGATGTAAACACGGCACCGGGCACGGCGGCGGGCGGCTGCTGCCAGCGGAGACAGCGGGGGAGTCGTCCGCCGCCAGTCCGGTGCCCCAGGCGGACACACGGACACCGAAAGACACACGGACACAGACAGTCACAAGCAGGCGGCAGCCCGGACGCTTCTCGGGGCCGCTAGCACTTGTGCCGGCTCTGTGAGCGGCACCACCCGCAACCTGCTCCTTGCTCCTGCGCACTGGAAAGTTTCGAAAGAAAATAAAAAGAGAGTGAAAAAAAGAAAAAAAAAAGGAAAAAAAGGAAAAACAAAAAATTGGAGAAGAGAAAATTATTCGGAAAAAAAAATTAAAAAGCAAAAAGAAAAAAACGTTTTAAAAAATGAAAAATAAAAAAGTGAAAGAAACCTTTATTAATTAATCCTAAAAGTTCCACTGAGTAACTGAGCAAAGTTCTTTTCATTTGAGCCACTTCAGTAAAGATATAATAGTTTTGCAATTATCACTATCTCAATACTAATAATTATTGTTAATATTATTATCAGCTTTGGGAGCGACTCGCCAGGCTGTGGCGGGCAGGCGGCCCCGAGGCGGCCGGCCGTGCCGTCCCGTCCCGCTGCCGGCGGCTCAGCACGGCTCTGCCGGAGCTCCGCACTGCTCCGCGCCTCTCTCTCGGCTGTGCGCGGCTGTGCACAGCTCAGCTCGGCGCGGTGCGGCGGGAGCGCGGCGCACACACTGGGGCGGGGGGGGGGGGTCAGTAGCGTCAGGCTCCCATGGCGTCACTATTGACGTTTCGCATTCCAGCCGCTCTATGGAGAGGCCGCTAGGGCTCCTCTCACATAAATGACGTTCAGAGAGAGGGAGCGGGAGAGCAGCGCAGAGAGGCGCCTCCGTCCCCTCTCTCCGGCGCAGGCACACGCGCACCCCGGGGCACTCGCACCGGGACGCGGGCACAGGTCCCGGCCCGGCTCCCGCCGCACACACACACAAAGGCACATCGCGGCGGCGGCCGCCGCTCGGCATCCCTCGCCCGCCCGCCTGCTCACTCCCTCCCTTCGCCCGGGGACGGGCTCCTGGCTCCTCAGGCTTTTTCAATCCTTTTCCATGCCTCGGGATAACGCACCCTCTGGACCTGCAGCTACCCGGAGTCTGAGGGATTTTGTGTCTCGGGTCCTGCCGCTGGACAGCGCCTACACACGCCTTTAAGGAAGCGAGCACCTATAAACTAGATGTAAAGACGGAACCTCCACAGCAACCGAGTACGTATGCGAGTGAACGGGAGCGGCTGAGGGAGAGGGACAGCGCGGCGTGTCCCCACTCCGTGAAAGTTGCGCCGCCGGGGTAGAGATGCTGGGGAGATGCCGGCGGCGAGCGATGCGGCTCAGCCGACGCGCTGCCGTGCCGGGCTCTCGCTGAAACTTTTCCCTCACCTTCCCCCCCTCCTCCCCCATCCTCCCCGTGGATGTTCAGTTGCCGCTCGTCTTCCGAGCGTCCCTGCCGTCTCGGCAACTCCTGCCGTGCGCGGGGCACTGCTGCTCCTCGCAAACGGGAGGGCTGTGGTTGAGCGGAGCGGGAGCCGGAGGTACTAAGGTATTTCTGCTAGTTGTTGTCATGGAAATGATGCTGCCGGCGGCGGCGGGGAGTTTACAGCGCCGGTGATGAATGGCAGCAATTTGTCTCCCTCCTTTAGCCGCGCTTGGGAAATAGGTGGTTCTGTTTGCACAAGTTCAGCTGTCTAATAGGGACGGCGAGGCAGGTTGAGCTCATCTCACTTTGGGAGAGAGCAGCCCCCCTCGGCAGCCCAAAGAGCTCGCCCGAGAGGTAATTGCTGGAATGTGACATATTGTATTGAAATGAGACGGGATGTTTGCACGGCACGTCTGCCCGGCATCTGCTCCTCGGAAATGTGCACTTTTCCCTTCGGAGGTCAGAAGTGGTAACGAGGGGCCGCGGTGCCCCAGCACGGGCGGTACCGTGCGGGGAGGCTGGGCTGCGCCGCCGCTGCCCCGCTCCCTGCCCCCGCGGCGCCTCTCGCCTTTGCCTTCTCGCCTTAATAGCTGCGAAAGAAGTTTCAGTCTTGGAAAGAGGCGAGAAAGCGCGGGCGTTGGGTTGTGATATTATGTAGAGGGACAGTTATCGGGACAGCATTATCGCGATAGCCTGTCCCGGGCGGAGATGCCGCTCACCTTAGCGCGGCTAGTTAAGAACGCTGTAACTTAACTTGCGATTTTTGGATACGATGGGATCCGTGAGAGGATATTTCCCAGGGAAAGGGCGTAAAACACTGTTTTATGTAGGGGGATTAGTGTGTTGGGATAGGATTTTTTTTCTCCAGGAAAAAAAAAGTTTGGGAATGAATCGCTAACTTTTATCCAAGCCGCTTCACTCGATTACATTCTTCGCCCTATTTTTCTCTCCTCCGTGGAGACCGTTGTATGCTGGAGTCAAGCCCCGGTAAAAAACAATGGACTAAACCAGACCAGACGGTTTCTTCGGAGGTGAATCTCACGCGATCTCGTGGATATTTGCTGGAGTGACCGTGCGGCTCGGGGCGATCCCTCCCACTCCCCCCCCCAAAAAAATCGCCAGCTAACCGGCGGTGGAAATCCAGCACGAAACTTTTTAATTGAATGGAGCTTCCCCCTCCGCAGTCCCTCCCGGGTAAATGAAGGTTTCGAAACTCGCCTGAAGAAGTCACAATCACAATGGAGTGTTTCACGGTTTCCTCCTCGTATTACAGGGTGGGGAGGGGTGTCACTCGGGGCTGAATGTAAAGTGCACGGAGGAAGAAAAGAGCTTTGACAAGGGTAGTTATTTCCTCCTAATTTACAGCCCTTACGGCCCTGCGCTCCTGGCTCGGGCGGCGGCAGCCCGGAGGGGTGCTGCGTGGTTAAAAGCGCAGCGAGTGTCTCTAGGTAACCGGCGGCTCGGGGGGGCAGAGAGGAGCCCTAGGGCGCTCCGCGCCGAGCGGGAAACCGCCTCTTAGGAGCTCGCAAGGGAACAAGACCCTCAGGAGAGAAAGGGATGAGCTGACAGGCACTTAACACCCCAGGTGCTGGCGGGGGTTCAAAGGCGAGGGGCGCGGGGAAGGCAAAAGAAAGACGAGGAGCGGGAGAAAGAGTCGCCGGGGAGCGGCTTCCGTGGGCAGGGGCCGGCGCGGCCGAGCATCCCCCGCGCTGCCGCGGAGCCCGGCTGGCAGCGCCCAGAGGGTCGGGGGGAGGCGGCTGGGCTGCGCTCCCTCCCCCGCGCCGGCGATGATGGGCCCGGAGACACCCCACAGGGTTAGCCGGGCCGGCAGGACACCCCTCGAATCTGGCCGGTACCTTGCATAGAAACTCCCAGCCTGCTTTTCCCCTGTCTCTGCATCCCGAAAAGAGAAAGTTCTCACGGGGAAGTGGACGCTCGTGGATGCTGTCCCGCTTGTTGTAGTCACCCCGCCCGGAGTTCTCCCCTTGCCTTCCCCAGGCTCCTCTCCCGGAGAACAAACCGGCGGCTCCGTTGTCCCAGCCCGGTGCTCTCTTGCCTTTTGTGTGATGAGGGAGCGGGAGCCGGCAGGAATGCTCTCCCCGGCCGGCTCCCCCTTCCCACCCGCGGGGCGAGGCGGGGGGTTGGCGGGCGAGCGCGGGGGACGATGCCCCCACGTCCCCCCGAGGCGCCGCGCCGGGGGGAGGCGGGGGGCTCCCCTCCGCCCCGCCGGGCACCGCCGCCCCTGACTGTGCCTTGTCTCCCGCCGCCGGCGGACAGAGCCCGGGTCGGAAGAGCGCCCCCCGCCCAGGCCAGGCCCCGGGCCCGCCTCCGCAGAGAGGTCCCAGCCGGCACCCACCCCGCCGCCGCCGCCGCCCGCCGCCGCCTCCGTCCGCACCTCCAGCCCCACCATTCAGCGCGCAAGATACCCACCAGGTAAGCTGCCGCTCCGGGAGAAGGGCAGGAGGAGGAGGAGAGGGGTGCGGGAGGTCCTGGCGCGGCCCCTACCCTTCCCAAATCCCTTTGGCATCATCGGCCCCCGACGTCCCGGGGAGTTGAAATCCCAAACGGATCAGAGCAGCGCGTGCCTTTCGCAGCGCTTTTGGCGATGCCGTGCCTGGGCACACGGGCTTGCGAGCCCCTCGCCAAAGACGTGCCAGATTCAAGGGGGAGCTGGTTGGGGGTGCTAGTGTCCCTGTGAGGCGCCCGGCTTGCCTGGCGTTCAACTGGGCATCCTTTACCTGACGTTCTCGCAAAGAAAGCAGAACACCATGGTAATAGCTCCTAATGTCCCTGCTCCGATGCTTTTAGCCATTCATTTAGGTTTTGATGACAGGTTGCTCGTTAATGCACCTCCTGTGGGTTCTTTTCTTTTCTTGTTTTAATATTGTTGGGTAAAGAAAAAATCCCAGGTTATTTACTTGGCAGGGGAATTAATACTGGTGCCCTAAGTGGAAAAGTAGGGGTTAGACTTAGACAAGTGCGCTGGCAAAAGGCGAGGTAGGAGGAGTCCCACAGAGCCAGGAGAGACCAGACCTTTAGGTTAGGGATATTTTTTCAGTCCTCCGGTCAGAGTTATTTTAGACTTCTGTTTTTCTACTCCACTTTGCACAGAATTCAGTGGCATGACACTGTTATGCTCAGAAAAATGCAGGAAAAAAGGGCATAATGATCTGTTCCCTTGAACTCCTGCTCATTTTCTGAGCTAGCAAAAAAGCATTTTTCCTTCATAGAGCTGTGTATCAACACGTCCAGTTGTGACATTAGATGTGAAATCACTCTGTTATGTTCCTCTGTCAGTTCTCAGTGGAGGTGTGTGGAAAGAATTTCTTTCCCTTTTTATTTGATTAAGCACCGATCACTATGTTTTAACAGCCAGTCCTTAAACTAACAAATGATAATGATACGACTTGCCAGGAAATGTGTGTGCGTGGAATGGCATGGACAGAAATTGACAGGAAAAAAAAGGGAACAGCAGAATAATACATAAATAACATTGGGAGGCAAGGCTTAGGGGGGAGGGTTGTCCTGCCTCCTTCTTCAAGCTTTTGGATTTAAGGCAAAGAAGGTCCTAATTTCAGGAAACAGCACTATTTTTTTTTCTCAGATTTTAGTGTTTTCTCGAGAAGAACAAAGATGTGAATGGTTTGTGGCAGCGTGATAATTCAAATTTGGTGCTTAGTTTAAATATGTTTATCTGTAAAGCAGGCAGGAAAGAATTAAAAGTTGATTTAACACAAATTATTTGGATTCCTGCATGCCAGGAGTGAATATTTTAAAATTGTAAGTGAAAAGAGTTCTTAAAATAATGAGGAAAACCTCATTATTTCCAAGGCAGTTTTTTTTTTTTTTAACATGAATTATTTCTCAAGTGCTTCTGGAATATAAATTACCATGATTAAGAAGAGATGAACTGTACTTAATTTTGATATACATTTTATCTGTATTTACTTTTCTCTTTATGAGAAAATTTATACTAATTGATGCATTTTTTTCCTCTGCTGTGGAACCAAAATACACCACACACTTTTAGTTTGAGTTGCAAATATTGGTCTAGAATCTCACAATGTTTAGTCAGGCAAACCTCAGTGAATTGCAGAATTGGGTCTATTACTTCCTGTGACCAGCAAATTACATGGCAGACTAGTAGGAAATGTAAAAGTAAATAACAATCAGATCTTTTTAGCCAGGCGCTGTGTTGCTTTGACCATCCCAGCTATTAGTGAACCACATTAAGTTTCATGACTAATGAATAAAACCAACTGTATTACTGGCCTCAACCTTGCTTTCCCATAAAAAGAGAAATGCCACATATCTTTTATCCTACATTTTTGCAAATTGAAGGGGATGTTGTACCCTCCACTTTTTAAAGGAGAACATTCTACCAAAGATAAGCCTTATCTACCAAAGATAAGCCTTAAAACTAATAATGAAACAGCAACCTTAAATTATTAGCTGACCAGAAATATTCTTCAAAGGTCCAGAGCTGAGTAAGCAAAACTGATGTTTGCAAGTCCTGAGTAGAAAACCTTGTGATTTGAGTAATTTCTCTGACATGCGCTGCAGATGCTGCTTCTTTTAAAATAAATATAATTTTTAATATTATGCATTTGAGAACCGTTTACCCTTTGTGAAAATTTTATGGCATGATTGAATGCATACAGAGGTAGATTTAGAGTCATAAACTGTTCTCATTGTGCTTATCTAATTCTCATTGACACCTACATATATTAAGCAGCAGATGTAGGGCAGGTTGAGATGGATTTTTCTCTCACTGGCACTGGTATAATATAAGCTGGTGAGTTTCTCCCTTAACTAGATGAGAGCAGACTCCTAGTACTGAATGCTTAGTCGGTCCCTGGTGCATATTTCTTCTTGAAAGCAAAAGGCTCGAGGCTAATTTAAAATGTCCGAATGGGAGTTGGGTGCCTATCTGAGCTCTAGGAAGGAAGTTTGTGATGGCCTGAGCCACAGGAGGCCGGTGCCCTGGGCCTGTTGCTGACGTGCCGCTTTGCCCTTGCAGATATGCCCTGTGTGCAAGCGCAGTATAGTCCTTCACCACCCGGTTCGAATTATGCATCCCAGACCTACGCCTATGGCTCGGAGTACAGCTCAGACATCATGAACCCTGACTATGCCAAGCTGACCATGGACCTGAGCAGTACCGAAATCACTGCCACTGCCACCACCTCCCTTCCCAGCTTCAGCACCTTTATGGAGGGTTACTCTGGCAGCTACGAGCTCAAGCCTTCCTGCCTCTACCAAATGCAAACTGCCTCCTCTGGCCAGAGGCCCCTCATAAAGATGGAAGACACCCGGCTGTCCCCATACCAGCCCTCACTGCCCCCGTCTACAGATGAGGGGATGCCCAGCACTTCCATGTACTTCAAGCAATCGCCACCCTCCACGCCCACCACGCCCGGCTTCCCTGCTCACCAGGGCCTGTGGGATGAGTCCCCTCTGCAGCCCACGCAGACCTGCCTGCCTCCCGGGCACCTGATGGACGCCGCCCCCATGAAGACCGTGCCTCCGCGCTTCCCTCTCTTCCACTTCAAGCACTCGCCTCCGCACACGCCGTCCGCGGCCGCCCACATGTGCTACGACCCGGCCTCGCTGAGCCTGCCCCTGGGCTCCGACAGGCCCGCCGCCAGCCAGGCTCCCATGGAGGGCCATTCCTACGGGCTTCACCTGGCCAAAAGACCAGCCACCTTAGCCTTCTCACCGCTCGGCCTCAACGCAGCCACCTCCAGCCTGATGGGCGAGAGCAGCGGCAGCGGCAGCAGCGGCCTCCCGTCTCCTCCCAGCCGGAGCTCTTCGTCCGGGGAAGGCACCTGCGCTGTGTGTGGAGATAATGCCGCCTGCCAGCACTACGGGGTGCGGACATGCGAGGGCTGCAAGGGCTTCTTCAAGGTGAGAGATCCGCGCTCTGCTCCTCTCCCTGCTTGATCCCACCTCACTTCCCACCCTCTCTGTCCTCACGTGCTCCTGGTCCCGACCCGGGGCTTCAGGGACATCGTGTGCTGAAACTCAGGCCCCCACAGCAGGGTGGGAGGGACGCCCAAAGTTTTTGAAGGTCAGGGAAAGCCCTGTGTAGGATAAAAGGATCAGCCAGTCTCTGCTGAGAAGAGGCCATGGCAGTGATCTGGGGGAACCACCTCTGGTCTGCCAGCACTCCTCAATGAAACGTAGGTCACCCCAGTTTAAGCTATAAACGGCATTTATTCTCTCTTGAAACTCATCTGGAGTACATTCAGCCTGGGTTTTACTCAGTCACCAATTCTAATTATACTTTGTTTTTAGGTGAGAAAAGAAACCCTGAAATCATAAAGTCCACTTAATATTTTAGGTGGTGGCAGCGGTGCCCTTTGTTGTCCAGGGAAAGCTGGCATGAGGAGGAATGCAGGGTGGTCAGCACCGGGAAGAAACTGGTTTCACTCATGGGACAAACCCAAGTACTCCCAGTCGCTTTTGGTTGCTGCCTTGTCATTCCCCTTCAGCTCAGGAGCCCGGGCAGTCCTTCCCAGGGGAAAGCTGCCTGCAGAGCAGTGACTAAGCACTGCACAGGGTCCCGGTGCCTGCTGTGCAATGAAGGCAGCTCTGCAGCTGAGTAGCAACACAAATAACTTACACACAGCAGTTTCTCAGCTGGAATTTTGTGCTTATATTTTCAAGAGTTGAATATACTCCTTATATCTTAGGGTGGGGTGCTTTGTAATTTCCTTTCAACAGAGTCTGAAGGTCCAGATTCCAGTATTAATTTCAGAAATAGCTTGTTTAAGGGAAGAGCTTGTGATTGACTTTTGGTAGGATAGGTCTGCACAGAAAGTTTAAGATTTGAAACATTTGGTGTTGATTTTGTATATTTCCTCTTGCTAAGATAGCAGTTATGCCCCTATTCTGGTAAAAGATATAATGGGAACAAAAACAGTCTCAAAATATTTGGGGGGGGGCTTACAACATTTTTTTATTGTAGGTGGAGTTGTCAGTATTACTTAATAATAATATTTTCACCATGTGGTAACATGCACATCTCCTATAAAACTAATTTGTTATTTAAATATAACTAGAAAAGGGAACACAAATAACATGGAAATAGCAGCTCTTTTTATCCCAAACCTGCCCCTGTGGAAATCAATAGCATATCCTTGAGTTGCAACAGTACCTTATTCTGCGAAATTAAACTGTTTTCAGCTCAAATCACAATGAACAGTATTTGCTGTATCTCATATATTCAGTACATTGAGGCTGTTATTTGATAACAAACACAAATTATGGTATAAATTTTATCCATTAATTTAATTGCAGTTAAAGATTTAATATTGAATGTTGAGTTGATCAATTTGTTCCTGGTGTCTTTTCTAGTAGTACCTTTTTGAATGTTATTTATTGATATATCTTTGATTTTAAGTATGGCAGCATGCTATGTTTTTGCATTGATATTTGTTACATTCTTGCAAAGCTTACCAGGTTTCTATACATTTGAATTTTGCTTTATTTTTTTCAACATTAGACTTTAGAGTTAATTAAATTTACATAACTATGTCATCATTCTGTCCTTTTTCCTCAGGTTAGGTTAACTTTCCCAGAGTATTTAGCCAAACATATTTTGTAGGGGTTACTGGTGTTTTTATTTTTCTCCCTGATGATTTTAATGGCTAACCAAACCAGTTATTGTGGTATTTGACTAACAATAGTGATAGCAAGAGAAGTACATTGCAGATCATTTTGATTTTATTTTAATAAGGTCAGCAATAATCAAGGGAATGAACCAAGTAGAAAATTGTTCCCAAAGGGATATTAAAAGCGGAGATAATCTAATCCCCAAAGGTAGATGTGATGACCTGGTAATTTCAGATATGATTTTATCATTCAAAGTTGCCTGTCTCCAGAGACTTGCTTCAGAAAAATCCTGGATGATTTTCATTGTCAGCAGCTAGCACTAATAAAATTGTTTTTCCTGCAGGCTAGTGTGTTAGGAAATTAATTTTATCTAATTATATGAATTGCACTGTCACTTTTCATGTTGTAATTAAAACACATTTTGTCAGGTTCTAAGCTGCTCAAGAAACAATCAGTTTACTATTTTTGTGTTGCATTTTCGCAGAGAACAGTTCAGAAAAATGCAAAATATGTTTGTCTGGCAAATAAAAACTGCCCAGTGGACAAGAGACGTCGTAACAGATGCCAATACTGCCGGTTCCAGAAGTGTCTCAGTGTCGGCATGGTTAAAGAAGGTAAGGACTCTGGCTATTTATGATCCCAGAAAACTAAAATATTATGTTTTATGAATCTGTGTCTTTGTGTGTGTGTGTGAGTGTGTGAGCAAGCATGGATGCCTCTACAATAAATTTGACAGTGATGAGATTCGTAACTTACCCCAAAATATGTGCATTTATGTAATAATATATTGATTTTGTGCTTTTCACCCCTATTATCATATTTAGACTATAGACCCCAGAGTTCAAGAACAGCAAGGTCACAAGAGGATAATTTGACAGTGGCCAAAATGTCTCCTTTATTAACTTTGAACATTGCTCGATAATGCTGTTGGCTTCCCCTTGTTCTCTCACTGGGGGCTGCACTGGACTGTGTGCATTTTGACATAGGATCTTGTTTCATTCCCATAAGCTGATTGTAAATTTGCAATTAATTTAAATGGAAACAGGATCAACTCATTAGTCCCAATTCTGCAAATATTTAAGCATGTGAGTAATATTGTGTGAGCAGTCCCATTGCAAATACTGACATGGATAATATAACCTATATAGTGTGACCGTGTTTTTTCAAATGCTTCAAGAAAGCTAAAATTACTTTGAATGAATGCCTCTGCCATTTAAAAGGGACACTGCTAGTAGAAACACTAAAATCTGTGTTTCACATTCAGCTTGTTTTCAGCAGTGGAGTGTCACGGGCACGCGTGCAGGGGCACACTGACATGCTGCAAACAAAGCATGGACACAAGGAACACAGCTGGGCTCTCACTAAGCAGCTACATTGCTGCTTACGATCGTAGGTCTGACACAGTTCTGGTGCCATTTGTGTTCCTTTGCAATCAAAGGCATCAAGAGCACATGCTGAAACTGGAGAACACTTATTTTTACTGGTCTGGCCACCATAAGGAAAGCAGGGTGTTCATTCTGATCCATCATTTGCTGGTACCTTCACAACTGATTCCCTTGGGATTTTTTTTCACCTAGTTGTCCGTACCGACAGCCTGAAAGGGAGAAGAGGTCGGCTGCCTTCCAAACCAAAGAGCCCCTTACAGCAAGAACCCTCTCAGCCCTCCCCGCCCTCTCCTCCCATCAGCATGATGAATGCCCTCGTTCGAGCTTTAACCGACTCCACGCCCAGGGAGCTGGACTATTCAAGAGTATGTCTCACTTTCCTTTCCCTGCTTGCTTTCCGCACAGAAATGATTTGCGAGCTGCATTTCTCCTTACCAGCTGCTTTGCCAAAATGAAATTAAGTGTGAAATTTGGAAGAGGGTAGAAATCGGTCCAGCCAGCCGTTGTCTTTTCGTGATAGGTGGACAATGAGAGGAAAGGAAGTGCAGTAGATATTAGTGTTAGTAACTATTCATTGTGAGGATCTCAATCACAAAATGATCTAATAATCTGCAGTATATTCGGTAGCTGAGTTAAAGAAAAAAATGGATGGATAAATAGAGCATTCTTCTTGCAAAAAGGCTGTGCCAAAACACAATCAATTATGATGTCATTGATTAACCAGGAGCAGTACTTGTATGTCCAATATCTTAACTTCTGTTTCCTGAAGGCTAAAATTTAATAGCACTTCCCTAATATTCAGATAGAATGGTTGCAGAGTATGACGCTGGATGGATAGGACCATTCCTGTTGAAATCAACAGGAATTTTGCCATTATTTAAATGGGAATAGGGTATGCTTTGGATACCCAGCCTAAATATTCCTTCAGTAAAACTCACATTTTTAAAACAAGCCTGGTAAAATTAAAATTCTGAAAAATCAGCAAAGCTTTACCAAAGATCATATATTTTTGTAACCTTGTTCTTTAATGTAGCATAGTCACAATTTAAACATTCATGGAATATTCTGAAAGCTGATAAAAAAGTTCTGTAGTTATTAAAATACAGCATTGAAATGGCTTGTTAAATACAATTTTTAGGCAGGTTGATATAGGATAAGAAAAAAACTACAGCTACGGAAAAACAGGATCAAATTCTTCCCCCTTAAAGAAATAGGATTAAATTTGAGATTGTTAAAAATAGCAGCTGTACTCAGACAATAACTCCACTGGCCATTTATCACTTGTTGCTAAGTAATATTTAATCCTAAAGCATATTTACTGCAATTACATAAAAATTACGTTATGCTATTTTAGACTGTACTTATATATATAATTTAGCAATTTAAAGCATGCTGTAACATATTTTCTTCAAACTAATCTGGAAGTATTAAATAATATTATTTTTCAAGTGATTATCAAGAATTTAGCTGTTCAGTGTCTGACAACCTACTATAGGGAGAATGCATTAGCCATATCTATATGTACCTTAACTTACCCAGAATGTCTCAGGGATCATTCTACAAATACCAAGGTGTGTGACGAGCTGTTCTCTTTGATAGAAATCTGCTGGGTTTCACAGAATTGCAGGAGTCCAGGGGCCATAGTTTGTATTTATTTATTGATATCAAGTTCTTTTGCATTTACAGAAAACTGAACAAAAATTATGTACTTGTATGTGACTTTTTTCTTTGTCCTGCAGTAATTATTTCTCTTTTAATGAAAACAATCCACAGATTTGATTGTTGAACAACTCTGTTGGACTTTACCGAGAGCATATGATTGACAGTAAATTAATTTAGTCTTGGTAGCTAAAAGATTAAGTATGATTATCTGTTAGGACATATTAATATCTAAGTTTTTCTTTACACTAAAATATATTATAGTCTGTTATGACTGGCGGTACTGAAATGACAAAAATATTCTGCAAGAAATAAGTAGATTCTTATGTTTTTCATTGACCCTTATACTTTGAAAAGTTAGGGGAAGTCAAAAACAAATGCTGTGTAAAGAGCAAGATTAACTGAATTTAATGAGTTTAATGAAACATATCATAAACACACTGCAATGCTAAAATATTCCTATGAAGAATAATCCTGTACCTGTAAAGATTAACTTATGGCACGTTCAGCTAGGCTGTGACCCTGCTGAGTGCCACAAATGGGCAGATCTGGAAACCTGGCTTTGGAGTCAGCCCTGACACTTCTGCAGATACGACCTTAATGTTTAGCCTGGTCTTCGTGTTTACAAGCTGTAGTATCTTGACCATCTTAAAACTACTGATAAAAGTTTTGGAGAAAAGTGTGTATCCTTTCCCTCCAGAAAATCCTGTAGAGACACACACTCACAGAGCAACCCAGGAAAAAAACAAAACCAAAAATAAATTACATAAGCTACAAACTCTACACCAAAACATTGGAAACAGTTCTGTTCAGAACATGGCTGCTTTTCATCTCAGCACTGGTTTTAACTTACCAGTCCACAGCTGTGGTATATTTAGGTACTTGGTTTCAAAAGGCAATTGCCAAGGGCTGTAGTCTGGTCTCACACCTGTTTACTGGTACAATTCCCTGAGTTTATGCTTTTAAGGAAGTGAGATGAGAAACAGACCCTTGCCATTCTTATTCATGCAGAGTGGGCACCAATGTAAATACAAATGTTGCCTTTTCAGAGGGGGAGTGCAGCATTTAGGCAATAATCCCCCCCTTCCTGGGCCACAAAATTAAGCGCATATCATGACTTTTGGAAAAATGAGTGTAGGCTTTCTTCTGTGCAGAGAGGTTATTGTTAGGCTTTTGCAGCTGTAGCCGTCGATGAAGGACTGCTGAAAGCAGGCAAAGGGCAGAGCTAAGTTGTGCTATCGGGCTTCCCAACCTCAGGCTTTCCAAATCTCTTCAGATAAAACATACAAATTAATGTTGCTTGCTACACATGCAACCCCCTCCTTAAGTAACAGTCATATTTCATTTAATTCCCAAAGGAGCTCCAAGGAAGGCAGGGGGACAGAGCTTTGTCTTTTGTCTTTCTGCCGGTTTGTCTCCAGTTTGCATAGGGCAGGTTTAGAAATGCAGATCGGAGGGAGCCCTTCCGTCCTGTGACGCCTCCTGACCAAGGGCAGGATTGCCAGCTGTCTTGGTCACAAGTTAGGTCAAATATCACTTCTTCTCCATGAAATAATCATGGAAAAAACCCACAATTGCGGTGCATGAAACAGAACCATATTGTTTATGGTTACTTGTATGCTCCTAAGTCTGTTACAAGTAAATAATATTTTATTTTAACAACTCTTTGTAAGTGCTAATACTTTATAATGACCAGTGGTGTACTGCAGCAGCTGAAAATTATACAGTTCCATATAATCTTTTACCTTTCTTCTAAAATTGCTCTCATGGGATAGACTATACAAAAAAAATACAGGTTATAATTTTTTTAGATGCATTTAATTTGAATCAGTGCCCAGCATGGGGTATACCACACTGTAGCATTCACAGTTACATGACATAATGCAGCATTCAGCTTCATTAGAAAATGTTAAAACTTTGCCTTACCTTTGCCAAATGAATGTTTTATAAATATTAGGAACAAATTAACACCTGGCATAATTACGCTGAGTTGTGATGAGTTATATTTAGAATGAACCCCTTCAGAATGGGTAGTACCTTTTTTCTTTTCCTTTTGTTTTCCTTCTTCTTTACTGCTCAAAGGATCAAGGATATATCTCAGCTTAGCAGTACCTGTTGTGAGGCAGGAGTTTCCATCAGCCTGTTTCGTTTCCCTGTGTAGTAAGAGTCAGAGTCGTAGAGTCAGCCCCTGTGTAGCAAAGCACATCTCCCAGAACCAAAATGCACAGTTGTTGTGGCTTGCTCTGCATGGTCACTTCTAGAGGGTCCAGAACATGCATGGTCTCTGAAAAAACAAATTGTCTTTTTCTACCCATTAATTACCTGTGTGCATCTTGCTGCAGTCCAGTGTCAGGAGTAGGTGATTCTTGCTGCTTGAGCATCCTCAACTGCTCCATTCAAGTGGGGGTCTGAACACATAAATATGATGCAGCATACAGATTTTTCTACTGCTGCTCCCCATCTTCTCTGTATTGTGGTCTCTACCTGCCTCAGTATCACAGGATCCTTTGGAGCAGCTGAGGCAAAATTTGTCTCTGTATGAGCTTTATAAGAAGGACTGCACATGTTTCACCAGCTGATTAGGGATGTGAGCTGGAAGGCACTGTGAGAAACTCATGCAGTTAGGGTTGGCTAAGCAGGACAGAGTCACTAAGAGCTAGTACCAGGAACCAGATACAGACAGAGATCTCTAGGATTGCTGTGATTCTCCCATCAGTCAGCAACTCTGACATTGTGTCCTTCATCCCTTACCTGCCAACAGCAATGAGCTCCAGCTAGGAGAGGCAGAGTACAGGACAGCTACCTGAGAAGTTCTGCTTGCTGCCCCATCTCTCTGTCCTGCACAGAGGTGACTTTTGGGTGATACCTGCAGCCTACGGTTGTAATATGGCCCTCCCATGCTGCCACTGTTACTGATGGGGAAAGAGTTTTTGCTGCTTCCACTCTGGCTTGGAGAGTTGCTGGAGTGGCCTTTAGGCTGATGGATTCCAGCCTAAGTGCATGTGGGAAGTTGTTTCCAAAGGGTGTGCAGGCTTCTTTTGGCCGTGGAGACTACCTCAGCCTTTCTTTGGCTGAACCCATAAGAGAGAGAGTGGATATGAAGTCTCTCCCAGAAATAACCCAGCAGGTGTCTGATGATGAGGATGTTACTACAATAAATGACACATTATTCAGTACCTGCTCAGAAAACCAGCAGCACTTTCCAAGCACAGAATTGGACTAAGCCACAAAAGCTCCTGTTTTATTTTCTGCCCAGAGAGAGAGAGAGCAGTGTCAAAGGACTGACAGGGATCCACTGGTGATGAAGTAGGAGATAGTGGGGAGAGAGCTGTCAGAGGGTCACAGGGAAGCTGAGCAAGCTGAGACTGTCAAATGGTTGCCTGGAAGAGTTATGGCCACATAAGCAGGATAATAGGTTCTGCTGAACCTCAAATGCTTCAATTTGAAGGATAAGAGGTGATATGGGGCAGCTGGTTTACTTTGAACCAATTCTGTATTCAAATGAAGCAATGCTGCATGTGTCAGATAAAATGTGATTTATCTTATGTGTCTCTATCACTGTCAGATAAAATGCACTTTGTGAGGTTTTGGAAGAAATCTGCATTTCTGACATACTGAGACAAATTCATCAATGGGAAAAGTGTTTCATTGTAGTAAGCCAAATAATGTTCCTCTTCTACTGTGATGCAAATTATCCTACCCACCAGCTTTCTATTTCTGTTTACTAATAGCATATAGGTACTTGTAAAATGTGATATTATATTTTAGTTATAAATTTGAAATTACTTCTATACATATGGAAATATTTTTGTAATATCTATCTGAATAGCAAAATGCCTGTAGGTAACCAAATAAGTAGGTAGATGTAGACCTATTTTTATGTCTTTATAAATAATACCAGCTTTGCCACAGAAGGAAATGTTGTCGGGCAAATAATGCTGTATGTTTCACAGAATGCCCTTAAATGCATATAACCTTGCTTTCTGTGGCTTTCATTTTAGTACTGTTCCACTGATCAGGCTGCTGCAGGCACAGATGCAGAACATGTACAACAGTTCTATAATCTTCTGACTGCCTCCATTGACATAACTAGAGGCTGGGCAGAAAAAATCCCAGGATTTACTGACCTCCCAAAAGAAGATCAGACATTACTCATAGAATCAGCTTTTTTGGAGCTGTTTGTACTAAGACTCTCCATCAGGTAACTATTTGTTTAATTTCCTCTTAAGATGATGTGAAAAATCATCCATCTGAATATTTTTAAGGAATAAATATGGCACTATCTTTGAAAACTGTCATTTGTACCAAGAAAAAAGCACCAAAAAAAATCGGCAATGTCTGCATACAAAGGATATGGTGTTTAATTTGTTTTACACTGCAGGAAAAATCAAGAAGGTGATTTTAAAAGAGATCATAGGTGTCACTAATGTGCTTCTTTTATTTGATCTGTCCCATCTTCCTCCTACATAGTAATCAAAATTGATCCTCAGGTACTATTTGAGCAAGTCTGCTTTGTACTCATAAGTATGAAATATAGAAACGCACTTCAAGTATGAATTTTTTTTCTTTTCCCTTTTTCATCTGTTTTTGAAAGGGATGAAGAAGATTTAAAATCTTATTCAGATTGGTTTTCTTTTTAATACCAAATTGTCTAATAGAGTGAGATGCTGTTTGTCACTCTAGCACTAGTTAAGACACTTTACCGATTTTACTTTCAGGAACTGGCAAAATTGCAGACTGGTGATTTCAGTTATGCCCATGTTTATTTAAGTTGAAAATGACCTTTTCATGTGTTTTTTTAACAAAAATATTGGTAATGGAGAGAGAAGAAGAGGAGAGCTTGGCTGTAATTTCTCTCTTGCACACAGATTTTCATATAAAAGAGTTTATGCAGTTATGCTTATTGTCCTGCATTACTGCGTGTGTTCTCCATTGTTTTTTCCTTGCCAATTTTTACAATCTGAAAAAAGCAGATGATACTAAGTAAATGCTGAGGGTTGCAGAACCTATCTTTTTATTAGTTTTGTATGTCAAAATGCACTCACTTAGTATTCCTTTGGTTCAAACATACAGTATTTAATGCAAAATGTCTTCTCTGTTTATGCCTTTGGGCAGGACCAAAATCTTAACTAATTAGACAGTCTACACCACATGCTGCAGCTAACCTCAGGCTTATAACTCTACCAAGTAAGCAATCACAGAAGCTTGTTTGCTGTACTTTGGCCCCGAGGGAGAAACATATTGTCAAACGTGAATGCCCACATATGTCTCAGGATAATATGCCTTGGATTTTAAATGACAGACGCTTCAATACTGGTTATGCATTTTTCTGTAAAGTAGAAGATGCATTTATAATTTTTTCAATTGTTTTTATTTGAGGTCTGATACTGCTGAGGATAAGTTTGTATTCTGCAATGGACTCGTGCTTCATAGACTTCAGTGCCTTCGAGGATTTGGGGAGTGGCTCGACTCTATTAAAGACTTTTCCTTAAACTTAAAGAGCCTTAACCTTGATATCCCAGCCTTAGCAAGTCTATCAGCTCTAACTATGATTACAGGTAAGTGCTCCTTTGTTAACAGAAAGCTTCAGACTCTAGTGCTTTTCTTTATAATAGATTCAAGCAATTTCAGTTAATTTAGCTATATTCAGGGTGAAGTGATTATGATTTTTAAGCATTAGCATGACCAAATTGAAATTGTGGATTAACATTAGGCTATCAGACATCCCTCTTAAAATATAGTCTATTTCTTTGCAGCTTCGTTGTTTTCTTGGAGTAGTCTCCAAAAAGCAAACTGCTTCCAAGCAAATTGTGTGGCTCCTACAAAAATATTCAAGATACTTTCTGAAGTCCTAGAAAATTTCAATGAAATTACCAGAGTTAGGTCTTCTATGTAGAAATAGTAATATCAAGGCAGCTTGAGACCTAGAAGCCGTACAGCTAGCATAGCTCATCTCTCAGCAAGATAGCGAGACCAGAAAGAGTGCTCCATGGGGGCAGGCAGGCTGCATTTGGTAACCAGGCTAGCCTAGGTATTCCATGTACTGCTTTTCTGAGAGGGGAAAATCAGAGAATAATGAGAAAAAAGTCACATTTCACAGTTGTACAAAAACTTTTGGGTGTGCATGTGACTGTATGACCCTTTCTGCCTGCTGGGGTGAACAGCGGGAAACTAATGTCAGAATCTGCCAAATTTGTCCAATAAGTACAAAACAGGGGAACATAACCTTTTAAAGTGTAATTTTTGCATTCCTGAAACAATAAAGCCCAGCATACCCTGGGCATCTTGCAACAGAAGAGTCATGGCTGATGGCAGCATAAGGAGTTAGGAGAAAGGGTTTCTGACAACCACACAGCAGAATTTGGAGCAGAAGTCATCTCCACAAAGAGCCTCACACTCATATCAGAAAAACTGGTAGTTTAACAGTGCAACTGTGTCATCAGTGTGAGACAGGGCTTCAGTGTACCCTGAGCTAGATCTTCCTAGGGATGCTTATAAGCTCCACTTGGATAGATACTGATTTCCTTCTGCGTTTCAGGCATCCAGTACTTTGCAGGCAGTGGCCTCAACAACACCAGCTGTAGTCTTCATTTTACCTGGGATGAGAATGATGTCAGGGCAACCCTGAGATAAAACACTCAATGACAGATATAAAAAAATAAAATTGGCCAATTCCTGCTGCCATTTGTGGGGCCAAGATTTTGGGTTCAGAGTTTGCACAGTATGCTGTCTTCCTGCATTTTGCTGAAGGGTTAGTGTATGTCTGTATCTCTTTGTCTCTTAAGCATTTTCAGGTTTTTTATTAATTTTTGTTAATTTCTTCTGCAGTTGGAAAGGGTACTTTAAGATCCAGATTCCAGTTTCTTTGATAAAACATTTAAGACCAGAATAACTCATTGGAGCTGCTTTACTCTGTATAAAAGAATTCCCAAAATGAGTGGTATGTCTCAGTCAGAAAGAACATTCCCAACTTTTTTTTTTTCTGCTGTGTATATACATCCACTGGCAGATGTTCACACCTACTTACATATATGTACTATAAACACCTACATGTATGTGTATGTGTGTGCATATTTATATACATACATAATGTATTTATGTATGTATATGCATTTAGATAACTAAATCAAAGACAGGTGCTGTCCCTCTATATATTTACATACAGGCATATATGCTCATATATATAGCACATATTATGAGTGATTTAGATTGTGAACTATATATGAGATATGTCTTTTTTAGGGAACCATAGGTAGTGTGTTGTTGATTATCCTCCTGGAGACCAAGAGTATGCAGGTAGATGAACAGGATTCCCAGCAAGCTACGTGAATGTAGCAAAAGCAAACGTATAGGAGGAAAACTCACTGCCCTTACAAACCCACATTCTGTTTTAACATGGTAATTTCTTCAGTTAAGCACTGCTTGCTTGGCCTTACATAAGGAGTCAGAGTTGTCCAGTGGCTGGCTCAGTTCACCCTAGGATAATTAGAAACAGGGTTTAATTGGATACATCCCACATTTCTTTCTTTCCTTGATCACAACACTTCCAGGAGTTTGCTATATTGTGCCGGTCTTCCCAAAGTTTCCAAACAAATGGAAGCAATTGTTGCCTTTAAAAGGAGACAATTTCTATATATAGAAGCTTTAAGATTTTCTCTGTTTGTCAAGTTTCTCTTGATTTTCTCTCCTGTGTGAGGTGGTGTTTAAAATGAATGTTGTTTTCTGATTATTCTTTTATTTCGTGAGGCTGGTATATCTCTGCTGATTTGTTCTAAGGACAGCATGTATTTTCATGTGATCTAAATTAGACCAAAGCTCTAGTGACTTATATTCACAGGTTTCAGATATCCAAGGGCAGTTAGCTAACTCAGGGACTCAGCCAGAAATTTGGTCACCTGAAAACAGATAGCATTGTATAATGATGAACAATATTAAAAATAAAACATGTAAGGGGAAATCAGGTGATTCTAGCTAGTGTATTGAAATTTTTTATTCAGGAAAACCTTGAGATTTGGCTCTGATGTGGCATCCCATAAGAAATGGCTTCTTGTCTCCTCCCTGCAGTTTGAATATGACAAGCCATGTGATGGTTTTCAGCTAGTCACACCAAAAGAGAAAAAATAACAAAGAGAAAATTTGCAAAGATGAAACCTGAAGAAGTCTGAACTGCTGAACATTTTTAAGCATTGTTTTGAGGCTTGGCTTAGATTTAGTTGGGTGGTTTAAGTGCCATTCTTTATCTCCAGGGAAGGCACCCTTTTCTCCTGTAATGGACTGTTGGGAGCAATGGGTAGTTGGCAAACTCTGCTTCAAGCCTTTTCTGTCAGTCAGATCAAGGAATAACAACCTTTCCCAGGAACATAGGATATCCAAGTATTGAGTACCACTGTCTTTTGTCTTAAGAGGACTTCATACATTTCATGGGGCCACAGAAGGGGTGTTGTGTCTGATGATTTGTGGACAAGCTGGTGGTCAGAGGGACACCTAAGGCCCTATCTCTGGTCTGATGCCAGCAGGAAGGGAATCTGACCATGGTTCTCCCATGTCCCAGGTAGATATTCGTGTCACTAGGCTTCAAAATAAGAAGTGGGAAAGCTTTCTTTTGTAAATCTAATTGTTTGCCTTTAGTAACAACACTGCAAAACCAGAATGCTGCCTTGAGCAAAATTTTCTTGATTATCACACAAATTGCTTATGACTTGATGGCTTAACCAAAAAAAAAAAAAAAAATACAACAGCCCTGTGATATGTAGTAGTCGTAGCCTGTTTTAATACTGTACAGCATCTTAGGTAGCATTAAATTCAAGAATTGTCTTTCCAGATAAAGAAAAATTTCTTCTGAGAATAATGAGCTGGTAATCCTTCTTGACTTCACGAGTGCTGTCCTTAGCCCAAACAAATATGTGCTCTTAGAAACCAAACCTTCATATATACTACCAATCTTTGGCAGTTTTGAGGGAGAAGAGTAAGAGGAGTCACATATTCTTTCACATATTCTGTCTGTGTTCTTCAAGAGTGACAGGGAGAACTAATGTCTGTCTCCCAGTGAAGGAAGAGGGAAGTCAGGTTGGAGACTAAAAGACATTTCACCGGTCCCAGTGTCCTAAGATGTACTGAAGGCTATTCCTTCATTTTGGGAAGTCAAATTGTCTCCCCAGTAACAGCTCCAGTAGTTCCAGCAACCTTCAATTAACCCTGATGACTTGTTTGGAGCTGCAAAGCTGCATGTCCTATCCCAAACACAGCTGCAGATGACAGCATAGGATGCCTGGTTAAGAGCATGTAGGGTCATTTGTTCTTTTCAGTGTAGTTCCATACATTGTTTACTTTGGGTAAAACTAAAGGTATGTACAGTATTTTGCATTATATATTCCATTAGAAAGTCCCTATATTTTTGCTTTTTCTATCTCTTTTATGTGTCCTGGAAATCTGTGGTATGTTGCCTAGAAGGAAAAGCATTATGTCAGATTGCTGATGAGTTTTCAGGTCCTCTCAGATAAGACATCAGTTTAAAAGAGCATCCAGAATGAAAGAAGTTGCATCTTGTGTACTGTGGAAGCTTGCAAACAGTTAACTTAGAACTCTGTCATGCCAAAACACATCTTTTTACTGTAAGGTGTTCCTTTAGGATCTTCCTCTCTCTGTCTCTCTTCTCTTTTTTTACTTCCTTTAGTTGGTTTAGAAAGGCTGGACACAACTTCCTCCACAGCATATGAGTGTTGCTCTAAGCATCACCCAGAAGAAAGTAGGTGGGAAACACACATGACACTCACCTCACACGCCTATGAAAGTAAAAAAATTAGGTCTATCATGTTCTTCTCCTTTGGATCACTTATTCTGTTGGTATGTAGCATCTAATGAGCTAAAGAAGAGCACCAGCATGGAAAGGAAATGCTGGTCTTGGGTCAAGTTCTGTTGTTCATTCCATACAGATGATTTCTATGAGTTTAGCGTGTTCATGGATCACAAGTGTTCCTGCACAGTCACTCCATGATCGACTGGGCAGTGTTGAAGACAAAGCTTTGCAGAGTAGACTAGATACTAACTCAGCCTATGCTTGAAAATGCTTCTTAAACTTCCCAAATGACTTTTTGTTAGTTTTTTTCAGTCAGTGTGAAAATAGAAAGACTGAGAGTCCAGTACAGATCATCTGAAGGGCACATTCTAATTCAGCCTCAAATTTTTGCCTGCTCTAGAACTGCTAGTGTTTTCTCTCTCTCATTCTCCTTGTTGATTATGTTTTCCTCTCTGCCCTTTCCTTTCTCTATCCACATCAAACCATTGTTATTTTGCCCACTTGACACTCTCAGTGGGATGCTGCTGAGTACAGAGCATGCTAGCCCTCATTCAGCCAAGCTCTTTCAGCATATGTTTTATTTTAAGTGTGTTACAGACCAGCCCAGAAACACTGTATATATTGGGCTTATTCACACTCCTAATGCTTTGTTAGACTGGCACCAGACCACTGAAGAATATTGTGAGGTTTCAATTAATTAGGAGTTTGTGTTTGTCTTCCTGCTGTTGGGCTTTCTGTTCCAGTTTACAAACACAATTTTTAGCACCATCAGCCATACCGAGAAACAGTGATGAGACCAGTGTGGCTAAAAAGGGTATGACTGCTGCAGTTCCTTCTGAACATGACTTTGTCCAACCTCCCAGTGGAACTGAGACTTACCTACTCCTCAGCAGCAGATATCCTTCAGTCCTCTTGCCAGGATATCCTCTGGAGTGGGTGCTTCATGTGCTGGGTCTACATACAAGCAGGTGGCAGACTGGAGGAGTGTAGGAGAGCTAGTTATAAAAAAAAAAAAAATCCTCCAGATTGCATTGTCTGCCTTCCCCCTGCCACTTAGCTGAGGGAAATACTGTCAGCGTCAAAGTAAAGTACTCCTCCTTTTTCACTCCCACCTCTTTGTTGAGGCAAGAACTCTTTACTTCTACAGCAACCAGCAGTCTCTGTTTTATATTGTGGTTTTCTTAAAAGAGGGAGCAAACTATGGTGTTCTGTGTGGCCACTCATCTCACCTGACTTCAGGTACCTTGCACAGCTGATGGAGAATACAGGGCACCTCCAGAAAATGATTCATGCACCTAAAATTGTAATAATCTTCTAAAAATGCCCATCCTTACACTGATGTGAGGAGGAGTTTGAGAGGTCTATGCACCAAGGTTGGGGACCTTTGTGGAGTGTCTGAGTGTTAGGCAGGTTAAATATGGGCCAGACTGCAACAGGAAAGGAGACTCTTGGATCTGCCAAGTTGCAATGTTCCTGTGTAACAGTGTGTGCATGAGAAAGCTGTAGGCAACTAAGCCTTGTGCTTATTTGAGTTATAGAAGGGGAAGAGAAATGTGAAGGGGGAAGAGAAAATCACATAACTACATTGAAACCAAGAAAATCAAGAGGCCTATTTTAAGTCTGCAGTGTTTATCCGTTGCATTTCTGGACACCTCAGAATTAATTGAGACTAAAAGTGATACCCCGTGACACAGACTGCAGAACCCAGGGTCTTTGAGGTACTCACACTCTTTAAAAGGCATTTGCTCAGATAGTGTAAAGTGAGGCATTTGTAAAAATAGTGCTCAGTCTGCCTGACCCTGGCATGATCTACCTCAGGTCAGAGGTTAGGGTCTTTGCTTTCTTCCTGTTGAGTTTTTGCTGATCAGTGTCATGATAGCACAAAACCACATTCAGCTTCCTGGGAAAAGGAAAAAGGTGTAAAAAACTTGCTGTGTTCAGTTTACCAAGATAAGCTAAGTTTGCAGAGCTTTAGAGGTAAGACTTTTGATGAGTCATTTTGACAGCATCTTTGCCATAAATCACCATTTTTCTCACAAAAATCAATGATATCCTAAAACACAATCTTGGTTTGTTACAGGCTGAGAAATCCTGTATTCACTTAACACGTGCCTTTGTCATTATAAGAAAGTCTGACTACAATAATATTTACACATCTCCTCAATCAGTTAAAGAAAACCTATCTGTTTTGACCAGCTGTACTTCTTGGGATAAATCTTGGCCGTATCATTCCCATGTGGATAAGAACATCCTGTGGAAGACAGTGAATGATTAGACGCCCTTGGTGTCAGTGCCACTGCACACCCTTACCACAGGGGCCTGGTGCTGCTCCCTCTAAGTTGTATAAGAAAGACTGTGGGTTTTTCTTTGTACACGCAGAACTGGGCATTTGAAAAAGGCAAGAAAATGTGTTTCCTGTTATTTGAACCCTGTTCAATCTAAATCTTTGAGCAAATTAGGCCCTAGATGCCTCAAGTCTACCAAGGAGAGGGGCCTATTCTTAGATGAGTGTGCTCTTCAGAAAGTAGTTGTGTTCTACCACTGGAGAGTGCAGTGGCAGTGCCAGTGCACGCAGTGTCCTTCCCTAGCACAAGGGCTTCCACACAGATGGCTTTGACTTTCTATGAATGCCTTAGGAGTTTAAGACTGAAACCCCAAGAGGCAGCTCCAGGTGTGAGGGATTAACCCTTATGGAGATGTGCAAGTAGTGAAGGCCATTGTATGGCAATTCACTCAGGGGAGGGCAATTTGGTTTATCAGGGACTGCTTTGATATTGTAGCACCAGATTTTAAGGACAGAGTATCTCTTAATTCTGAATTTCCACGATTTTGTTATGTAAAGTAAGGCTACTAATATGATAATCTTTGCACATATAGTGTTTTGCCTCCTACATTTCATGGCTATTCACGAAAGACATGATTTTTTCATGAAACCTTCTGAACTTGTCAGTGGGAGACAAGCTGTTTAGTTCTGGCTGGAAATGCTAACAAAGTTGCTGCATGCTCCAGAGCCAGAGATAATTTTTCATACTCTGCAGCAAGGTACCCACCTACTGAGGCAGTGGTTTGAAAATGTGCTCTGGTAATTTGTAGTGAGGTTTTGCATCCATTCTGGTATTGCAGCTCCCTACATCTATAAAAATATCTTCACTTACACAGCTAGGAAACAAAGCAGATTAAAAGATGGGAACTCTTCAAAGATTGCAAGATTAATTTAATGTCCTGCAGATTCTCTCAGTAGGCTAGTGGTAAAAAAAAAAAAAAAAGCCCTACAGCTCTTCCAACCTGTATAAAATATTTATCTGCCAAGATTTTTAATGGCAGAATCTGCCTAAGTATTTACTCTCAGTGACCTGTATAGTTAAGGCTTACATAATTACTCTATACACCATTTACTGGAAAGGCTTTAAATATTAATTGACTTCTCATGTTTTAATGTAAACAAGGCACTTAGAATACCTAGGGTTTTAATTCCTGCAAGGTGAAAACGATGTCTGAAGCAGATGTCACTGGTTGGATAAGTGTTGCTTTGAAACAACAGGGCAGATTGGCGGTACCTAAATGATAGTGCACAGTAACTTCTGGACAGAGATGTCCATGTCTGCACATCTCTGATTCTGATCTCAAACCAGTATTATTCAGGAGCTAACTCTGCCTAAGTAAATACAGTTGGAAAAAAAATGTGTAAAATGGGTGAATATCAGTGGAAAACCAGACCTTTGCATTTCTGACTGCCCTCATTGAATCCTGTCTGTTTTATTGGTTTGTACAGAGTATCTAAGCCAAGAGAGGTGGTGAGCGAGGAGTTTATATACACAGGCCTGGGCAAGGCACCACTGTGCCTGGTGCAGGCAATACCTCTGCTTCTGGAAGTAGAGAGAACTGTACTCTTTTCACTGTTCATTAGGGGACAGACAGAGGACATGTCTATTGCTTGCTCCTCCTGGCATGGAGGAGCAAGACTTGGGGACAATGTGGCTGCTGGCTGCCAGGGATGGGAGAGAGGCCCAGGGAAGGAGATGACTTCAAAACCATCAAACACAAGAACTGCCACAATTTCTCCTTATCCACTGCTGTCATTGTTTTATATACCTAATTGACTTAATATAACCTGCATTTTCTTTGATTACCGTATCTGGCACCATTCTATTTCACATGTAAATTATTATGACTTTGCTGTGAAGCCATTTCTTACTTACCTGTGTGTTTCAAAGTCAGAGAAAATGAATACACCACAAATTTGAGATTTTTTTCTGAATTTTTTTTTGTTCTGTTACTTTAGTTCATCCACTAAGCCTTGATAGCAAACAACATAGAATTCTTTCCCCTGTAAAAAGTCTGCTTTTAATGAATCACAAATCTGATTAATTCTACTTATGCTTAAAGAACTCTGAATGCATTTAACATCATTGTTGTATTTTAAAAAGATATTTGGAGGGGAACAAACCCCAGCTCTCCTTCCTTTTAGGAGTGCTGAGGTTTTTGTGATGGATAATATAGCAGCTGTTCAGGCATTGCTCACTCAAAGCAAAATAGTTAACTTCCAGGCTTCTTTTATCCTAGAGCTTTTAAAGATGAATAAACTAAAAAGCAGCAGCTGATCAAAATAACAAAGGGTAGTAAGGTGCCTTTAGTTTCTTGTAAGAGTGTCTGCAAATTCCTGGTGGAATTCTAGGCTGGGCGCTGATGGAGCTAGCTAAGGATATTGATCGCCACTTGAATTCACTGAATAAATAATGGTTGCCATAGTTATTGAGCATTCACGACTGGTGGGGAAGCACGGAAATCTCCAAAACACCTCCTGTGATGCTTTTGCTGCAAAATCACCCAATTAATTCTGCCTCATATCATGAAAATTATGTCAGATACGCAGGATGCTTGGAGTCCTTGTACGAGAATTTCAATCATAACTGAGCATCTCTGTCACCTGTTTTAGTAGATAAGGAGAAAAGGGCACTTGCCCTCTCTTATTTTGTGTGGCAAGAAGGTTAACTGGCTCCATGTAACCCCAGCTGTTCTGAGAAATCTACACTCTCAGAGCACTTTTTGCTCTGAGTTCCAGAGTATGCACCTGGGTCACACCTAAGAAAATGCATTTGTGATAGGGATGCTGATGTGGTTTCTTTCCTCTGGCTTTGCAGAACGACATGGATTAAAAGAACCAAAGAAAGTGGAAGAGCTATGCAACAAGATCACAAGCAGTTTGAAAGATCACTTAACTTTCAGTTGCCAAAACAAAGGACAACCGCTCGAGTCTGCAGAGCCGAAGGTACTGGGTGTTCTGGCTGACTTGCGTTCTCTCTGCACACTGGGACTGCAGCGTATCTTTTACCTGAAACTGGAAGATTTGGTGCCAGCCCCTTCCATTGTCGACAGGCTGTTTCTGGACACCTTACCCTTCTGAGTCAAACCACCCTCCCGAGAGGCAAACGCCCGCCAGAGCAGGCAAACGGATCGTGACTTACAGCTAACATTTCTGCCCTCACTTAACAGAAAAGCCGCTCCGAGTCTAACATGAGGTCTTTTCTGGCGCTTTGTCCTTACAACCTGAGGCCTGAAACTTACTGGCTTACTGGTTTGGGGTTGTGTTCTTTGTTTTCTTTCGTGTGATTTGGGTTTTTTAAATGGCTAATATGGCACTTTTGGACAATGCTATCCCAGCAGCAGTAAAAGGTTAATATGACTGTTTTAAATCTGTTGTTTAACACCTCATGGTCTATGAGGAGTAAAATTGTAGAAGCTGTGTTTGAAAGAACAGCAAATTGTTGTTTGCCAGGGTAGTATGTGTTTTGTGAGGATACCTTTAGCATACTTCCTGCATCAAGGGCACATACATCAGCACAATCTAATCAAAATTTCACTTTTTTAGCAAAGTACATTCAATTAAACATTTCATACAAATCAAATATAGCAAAATGACAATGGCTGTTAGCTCCCATGTTCAAGTGCAATTTTTTAAAGTGCTGTCTTACTAAGTCTCGTTTATTAACTAATTTATTTTATTAGGAAAACAAACACAAGAAATCAAGGGAGAAAATTACATGCACTAACTTACCTGACAGAGTTTTCCAAACTTGATTCCATGTAGCGTGACTTATTGACAAATGTATGTGGAAGACACGGGAGCAATTGTGGCTCAGTTGTTCCTTAGCTAAGGAAACCCGAGTAAGTAGTGATTGGAGCATACAGGGTCAGTATCAGGGATAGTTCAGTTCTAGACTTCTAACACAAGCAACTCGTTAGTAAACAGACAGAAGATGGTTTTCAAGAACAAGCAAGTCTTGTAAAATAGTATGAATGTAAGTGCTAGGAAGGATATAGTGGGCTGCGTTTAAACATTCCGTGTTCGTACTCCTTTTTGTATGTTTATACTGTTGATGCCATATTAATATGAGATAATTTGTTGCATAGTGTCTTTATTTGTATAAATGTTTGTATGCATGGTATATTGTAATGGCTTTGCCTGTATTTATTGCAATGACTGCCAGCTCATGGGAACCCTGTTACACATGATAACTAAATGGGGTGTTCACACTGACTCAGATACACCAGTTGGAAAACTATATACATATATATAATGTGTATGTATATATATGTATATACCTATATTTGTGTGCGTGTGTGTGTGCGCGTGTCTTTTTATTAACCATTTGTATATAAAATATCTGTCAAATCACAAGCAGAGTTATTTTACAGTTTATTTGCAGTGACTTCTAAGGCAGTACTGTTTAGCACTTTGATATTAAAATCTTGCTCATGTTTTGCTAAATTCAAATAATATTTAAAAAGTTCAGTTCTAAAAAACTTTATATGCACTGTATTAAGTCAAAATTTTGTTGGTCATTTTGCTAAAGAAATTTTTGAATGTCAACCTGATGTCACTGTATCTTTTGTTAGCTTTAAACATTCTAGCTTTTGTCTTTTTTTAAACTATGCTGTTTATATGGAAATTAAATTATACAATCAAACAGATGCCAAATGAATTGCCTAATTGCTGCAAAGGATAACCCAGATATCGAGTCACTGTATGGTTTTCAAAAAGTAATCTGGTATTTTATCACTTACTATGTTTGGATGTGCTTTTATGAAAAAATTATTCTTATATCAAGATTTATAGTAGTGTCAATAGGGAAACAGACTTCTAATCACTATAGTTAATATTTCTGGTTTACCTGCAGATAATATTTGGAGAAGTATTGCTTTTTGTATTGACTTTTAAGCTTATGTGCAAACATAATAGCATAATTAAATATCAGAGAAGCTAATGTTTCTTGTAGGTTGCTGTAACAAGCCTGACCAGCAAGACAAATATATTTTGACTGAATTTGCTTTTGTATATACTAAATATATATATATACATATATATATATATATACACTCACACACATGTGCGCATACAAAAACATACAGACATAAAATCCAAAAAAAGAATGTTTGCTTTTGTCGCCTTGTGTAAGACACAAGGTCCCTTGAGAAATTACTTTTATCTAAGGACAAATCCTGCCAGGTGCTGAGCACCAGCCAGACAAGGGCTTGCAGGAGCTTTTTGCAAGCGTGCCCTTATCAAGGATTTTGAAGCAAATCAGCATAGTACAGTAAAATTGCTTTTTTGTTGAGCAAGGTTTATTTATTAAGTGGAATGTGAGTGGGAGGAAGCAGGTTGAGAGCCCCGTGTGAGATTTCACGTAGTCTGTGTCCTCCAGTCTTCCATAGATAGTCTTAGCTGTGATACTCTCCCAAATCCCATCATCTGTGGAATTGTCCTTCATGTCAACTTCAATACACTGATTCATCCTAGAGTACAACCAGTGACCTGTCACAGTGGCAAAAGAAAGAGTTAATGCAGAATAAATCTACTACTATTCTTAGAGCTCTCTCAGTGTGAACATGCCTTTGTCTAGGCAGAATTCAGGAATATATCAGGTGTTAAGGGAGAGTGCCTTGCTTTTATTTCAGACAACAGTGTCTCAAGAGTTTCTTCACTCAGCTAACCACAGTACTTTCTTTCTTTTTTTTTTTTTCTTTTTTTTTTTTTGTGGTGTTAACCTGTGGGTTGAAAGAAATGCTCATGTACATATACAATGTAAATTAAAATTATTAAATTGAATAACATTTTTTTCAGAGGCCCCATGTGTGTTGAATAAGTATGCTTAATTCTGTTAAAATCTGATGTGAATTTTTTATCATTTATAAAACATTAAAAAAATTGTCTACTTGAGTCTTAAAAGTGGAAAAATTGGTGAAGCATGCTTAAGAACACTGGCAATTTAATGGCTAGTCTTTTGATTAAAATAGCTTTTATATAAATACATGCCTGCAGTATCTGGTTATGCAATCTCAATTAGATATTGAGAGCTGGACCATGGTTGTCCCAGAGGTTGAACCACATATAGACCAGAGCAGAGAGACTGTTCACTCCTCACTGAATTTCTCCTCCATGACAAAAAGGGAACGTAGTTGATAATCCAGAGCTGATGGGACTGCAGAGAAGGGAGTGGATAGCTACAGGGCTCGTGGCACCAGTGTCTGGCCAGGAAGAGGACAAAGCTCCCATCCCGTATTCAGCCCCTGTGCATCAGTAAATCCTGCTAAGGCATCGCTCCAGCAGGCACCTGCATCATTTTCTTCCAATGCCCATCCAGCTCCTTTCCTTACCGTGCCGTTGCCTTGCAGGAGGGACGGCTTATCCCCTGCCAGACAAAACTGTTTGGCTACAAATGCATTTCCAACAAACACAGTTTTGAGAGGCATCTGCCGCTATCCCGGGCATTGCCGTGAGTACGGATGGCTCCGGCTCACCTCCGCGAGCGCTGTTCCGCAGGAGCTGCTCGGCTGGAGGCTACATCAAATGATGTGCTGTGCTGGGCTGCAGGATTGGCAGCCCCTGCCCTGGAAATGTGACAAAACAAAAGGTTGTGCTAACTCTTCCAAATTATTTTCTGTTTTTTCTGTTGGTTTTTTTTTTTCTATGCCGTATTTTTAAAATTTTAACTATGAATCTTAAGATTGTTAATGATAATGACAATGAGTTTTGCATATTAGCTCCCTCTTGAGCAAAATATGCAGATCTTGAGATCAAGCCACACCAGGGTCTGAACTTTCACCCTACAAGGCAACGTTTATCCTTACTAAACTTACAAGTATTTCAGTTTGTAATTATTTTAGGGCCTCATGTCCTTAGACATGAGAACAGGCCTGTATCCTGATCTAACCTGCACTTGTGTCTTTATGTGTGCCTTGTGTGCTTATACCCCTAAAACACATCAGCTGCAGAGGCCTTGCTAAGGGATGTGATGTCCAAAGGTTGATTTTGTCAATGGAACTTGGGCTGAGTCAGGAATATAATAGCAGGTTCCTCTAGTAGCAACCACCCTTGGACAAGAGACTATCACAAAGGCAGCCAAAATTGAGGAACTTTAACTAGAGGTGAGTCAAATCTCTTTCTACAGCTTTCCTATTTTTACTTTTCACATTCAGGTTCATTTGCCCAATACACAAAGCTAAAATTTCAGTTATACTGTAGAGAGGAAGGAGAGAGAGGGGTTTAATTGTATAAAATTAAGTGTGGTTCTGGGAAAAATTGGCAACACCCTCTGAGGACACTGAAACATGTCTTTTGATTAATTATTTGTATTATAGCAACACCTAGAGGCCACAACAGAGATCAGGACCCCATTTTGCTACCTACTCTAATTAGCACCTCCAGTTCCCACCCAGAAGAAGCTCCAGTCCAAACATAAAAATAAAATAGGAGAATACTAACACAAGGGCATACAGCATCTCGGTCATAGAGCTGGGAATAAAACCTTCTGTTTGCTGAGCTAGTGTCTAGTGAATGCTCTTGCTTCTTTTTCCTTTTCTTTCCATTATACTGCCACTGTATCAAATTATAAAAACATGACAAATTCAAAATAACCCAGGTATTCAAACTGACCTTTCTTAACCCGTCTTATGAAGTCATCCATGAGACTAGTCAAAATCATGGTCAATCCAATCACATGTTTTGTCAACCAAACTAGATAGTATTTAGAAAAGAAATACTTATCTGTCCTTTATTAAATTAATGAAGCCAACCATTAGGAATATTGCAAGATATGGATTAAACAATAATTACTAATGGACAAAAAGGATTAACTTTTACAAATGCCAAAACATTGATGTAGTAATTGAATAAATGGGGTGCCAGTTAATCAAATTCTTAGCAGCAGAGGACATATTTGAGAATTGTATTCCAGACCTTCATTTGTGAGTATTACCAATGCAGTGATTTGTCAAATAAAAGTAAAAGAAACTTGTTTACTAAATGGAAACACTTATAGCAAGTTTTATTCTGTTTTCTTTTTTAGCTTTAGTCACCTTTATGCCTATATTCATAATATGGAATGTTGTGGCTGCGTTTGATCACAGAAGGAGTTTAAATACTTGAAATTCTTATATGGCTGTGAAAGTCAAATGAGATAAAGATTCTGACTTTACCCCACAAAACCAAGGATTTTCTTTATAAAGAAGCGTGGGATTCCACTTTATGCTGGTTTTGGTTGGGATAGAGTTAATTTTTGTCACAGTAGCTGATGTGGGCCTGTGCTTTGGATTTGTGCTGGAAGCAGTGTTGGTAACAAAGAGATATTTTTGTTACTGCTGAGCAGAGCTTATGCAGAGCCAAGGGTCTTTTTGCTCCCCACCCTGGCAGCGATAAAAGCTGGGGGTACACAAGAAACTGGGAGGGGACGCAGCCGAGACAGTCTCCAATTGACCCAAGGGATTTTCCATACCATACACATCATGGTCAACAATAAAAACTGGGGAAAGAAGAAGGCAGGTGGGGACATTCAGAGTGGTGGCATTTGCCTTCCTAAGTCCCAAGCATGATAGAGGCCTGCTGTTCTGGGGATGGCTGAACACCTGCATGCCCATGGGAAGGGATGAATTAATTTCTTGTTTTGCTTTGCTTGCATATGCAGCTTTTGCTTTCTCTATTAACCTGTCTTTATTATTGGGAGAAACCCAAGACTTTTCTCCCTTTGACTCTTCTGTCTCCAAGCCCACCAGTGGGGAGTGAGCAAGGGGCTGTTTGGGGCTGAGTTGTCTGCTGGGGATAAACCACAGCACAGATATAAATGATGTTCTGTATATGGCAAGATCCTTATGTGTGTATAATGAAATTACTCAAGTAGTACAAGGTTCTGAAGTCATGCCAAAGATAAGACCATGCACAAAAAAACCACCATTTTTTCCGCATTGTTTAATGTTTTCATTGAATCATTGAAACATTTAGGTTGTAAAAGACTCTAAGATTGAGTCCAACAGTTAACCTAGCACTGCCAAATCCATGAAAAAGGCATGTCCCCAAGTGCCACATCTGCCTTTTAAATACCCCAGAGGCAGTGACACTATCACTCCTATGGACAGCCCATTTGAGTGCTTGACAATCCTTTCAGTGAATAAATTTTTCCTAATATCCAATCTATACCTTCCCTGTCACAACCTGAGGCCTTTTCCTCTTGTCCTGTCACTTGTTATCTGGGAGACTGATTCAGACCTGGCTACACCCTCCTTTCAGGCAGCTGTAGAGAGCAATGAGGTCACCCCTTGTTGTCACAGGCCCCCAGCTGGGTAATAATTAGCATTGCCTCTGTGATTGCAGAAGGCTGATCAATCACTTTATTATACTATATCATACTATACTATATTTCGTAAAAAACTCATCCCCTTTGCAGACAGTCCGATACAGCATTGACCTAATTGGTCAATGAATCAAAACACCATCCAGTGTCCAATTAAGAAATCACCCTTTGGTAAACAAATTTCCATTACACATTCCACATGTGCACTACCACAGGTGCAGCAAGTGGAGATAAGAATTGTTTATCATTATTTTCTCTGATCTTCTGACGGCCTTACCCAGGAAAATGCCTGGGAAAGTTGTCTGTTGCTCTCTGTGGCCAGAGAGCTGCTGCCACAACCCCTGAGCC